GGGGGAGGGAGGAGGGGGGAGGGTGGGAGCTAGAAGGCGTGAGAAGTGGAGTCAGTGAGCGGAGGACGAGGCGAGGGAGAGGAGGGAGAGATGAGAGATGAATAAGAGGTGGGTAAGAATAATAGAGGGGATGGGGAGGACGACGACGATGAAAAGGAAAAGGATAGGAAGGGAGGAGAGAAGGAAGAAGGTTGAGGATGATGGAGACAAGGAAGGAGAAGATTACATGAGCTTGACTTTGAGGATTCCGTTGAGCTTCTGTTGTGAAGGGTCCCAAGAGAAGGAGATGTAGTTGTTGGTCAAGTTGAAGACTCCCTGAGCTGACGGTGAGGCACGAGGAGCTGGCAGCTGGTGTACCTGCTGCTGGAAGCCTGGGAGAAGAAGGTCGAGCTGTTCGTTCACCTCGACGTCCATGCACGTCTTGAGGTCAAGCTTGAGCTTCTGCATGTTAAACGGATCCGCTTCCTTCCTCTCCACCAGCATCCTTGACCCTCGTCAGCCTAGAAAGTTGAGGAGAGGGGAGAGGGGAGAGGGGAGAGGAAAGGTCAAACCTCGCGATGGCGAAGCTGCCGAAGGCGATGATGTGAGCGAAGAGATGAGGAGCTGCCAGGCCCTGCGAGGCTCTCGACTCGATCGTCACCTTGCTACCTGTCATGAAGATTAAAGTCCTCGGGGAACAACAATCCATCAAAACCTGTCGGAAGTCCGCAGGCTGCAAGGAGGATGGAAGATGAGGAGAGGGAGAGGAGAACAGTTGTGTTCGCGACGATGAGTTGTTGAGCGGTAAGACGTACGATATTGTTATCGACCGCTGTCACATGAAAGGAGGAGGAGGAGGAGGAGGAGGAGATGGAAGACAAGAAGGAAATGTTGTTCTGGTAGAGCAGGTCGAAGAACACGTTCTCATCGCTCCTCAAATTTTCCATCCCAAACTCTGCCAGCAGCGTTTGAGCTTCACTTCCTGTCTTGCTTGATACGCTCAGCTCTCCCACCAGCTGCCCCCCGAGCATCTCCCGCAGGTCAACCACAACGTCCTCTCCCTCCAGCACGTCCGCACTGAGTTCCCACAGCATCACCACCTCCGCGTTGCTCCCTGCCCGCGCCGGTGATACCCCTACGTAGGAGAGAAGGAAAGCTCCGAGGCCAGGGCTCCAGCCTCCCGTCTCAGCGATGGCGCCTGCCTGTGCGTCGCTGGAGAAGGTGAGGAGAGGAGAACGTGCCTGCACGCCTTGAGGCGGAAGATGAAGACCTGGGCATGGCAAATGAGAGGAGGAGGGTGTGGGAGAAGGAAAGAGGGCGGAGGGAGGAGGGCGGAGGGAGGAAGGAGGAGGAGGGAATATTAGTAGAAAGAAGATAACCTGCTGATGAAGAGAGGAGAAGTGACTCGAGCTGATAGGGAGGGATAAGATGGTTGGCAGTAATGATCAAGGTCGGGCTACTCCAGGAGATATTCCAGCTGAAGTTACCCGCGAGCAGGTTTGCGGTCAAGTCTAGGAGAGAACTGTTGGAGACGTTGAGGAGGAAGAAGGACGGGAGGCGGATTGAGAGGCTTTCCCCCCGTGCGATGGGCATGGAGCAAGAGAAGCGAAAGGCAAGGGGAGAGACTTGACCCGCGGAGGGGAACAGAATGTCCATCGTCAGGTCGCACTTGCCGATGAGCGGGAAGGAGGAGGGTATCCAGCTGACTGACCTCACCGACGAGTCGATCATCATCTCAATCCTCGTGCTTGCAAGCACTCCCTCCCCCGGCAGCTGCACCCCAGCACAGAGAGGGACTTGAAGCTGAATGAGCTCGAGAGCAGGAATGGTAGAATTGGGACTGAGGAGGAGGAGGAGAGCGGTTCCTTCCTCTGAAAGCGCCATCGTCAGGTACCACCCGGGCAGGACAAGGCTCCTCTCCTCTCCTCCGACTCGCGCAGACTCGCTGGCGACTGTCTGACTCGAGTTGACGCAGGTCAAGTTGTCGCCGGGGGTTTGCGGGGCAAGAGAAAAGCCGAAGAGCCGGAAGATGACAACGTCTTGCGGTGACAGGGGTGACTGGTAGCTCAGTGACAGCTGGACTCCTGCCACCTCCCCAGCTCGAGCCGGGGGGGTGAAAGTCACTTCCGACTTTTCCACCACTCCAACGCCAACGCACTGAACGACGCGAGCTGTCACAGCCCCGCACATCGCTTGCACGCTCAGGCGCAGCTCCGGGCTGTTTAGCGCCACGCCAGAGGCAGGGATGCGAAGCTCTTCAAGCCGGCTCACGTTGACGTCCAACTGAATTCCAGCAGCAACAGGCACCGCAAACTCCAACAAGAGCGTCTCGTCTGTGCACGACCAGCTCGCAGTCCTCAACTTGACGCTGCTGGAAACGTTGGCCGTGACGTCAAGTTCGCATGTGCTGTTGGTTGCAAAGCCTGAGAGGAGGAGGAGGACACGTTCGCCTGGCAGCAGGAGCGAGGAAGTTTTAACCTGGATGAAGAGGGAGGAGGAGGAGGAGGCGACTCGAGGAGCGAAGTCCAGGTGGAAGAGGGGGGCGTCTCCTACCGACTGCAAGACCTCGACGGGAACAGCCGAGGACGGGCCGAAGGGTGGAGGACGCAGTCCGCTCCATAGCTGAGAGGAGAAGTCCATACTGAAGCTCTCGAGCTTGGGTGGGATGGGAGCAGGAGGGAGGAGGAAGGATCGGTTGACAAGGAAGAGAAGCGGAGAACCCTGAGGGAGGAGGCGAGAAGAGCGCAGGGTAAGCCGAGAGCCTTGAGTCGCGTTGACCCACGAGGAGGTTACGCAGCAGGTCGTCTCGTACCCGGAGCACCGCAGACCCGAGGGAACAATCGAGAAGCTGCTGGTGTTGACGTCCTGACAGACTCTGCTGGGCTCCACCTGGAGAGCAAGGGAGCTGGAAGGAGAGAAGAGAGCCGAGAAGGTCGAGGAGAGCTTCTGCTCGCCATGGAAGACGGAGAGGTACTCGGTGAGGTCGACGGATTGGTTGAGCGGCGGCTGAGGCAGCAGAGGAAGCTCAAGGATGATGTCATCGCTCGGGTACAAGTCGAAGCTCAACGTGACGCCAAACGTGACGCTCGTGTCCTCTCGCAGCACCGGCCGGGAGAACTCGAGGACCGACCGAGGGACCTGCGTCTTCAACTTCACTTGCATGAAAGAAAACAAGAATGGACGAAGAGATGAAGGGATGTGGGTGAAGAGGAGGGAGGAGGGCGGAGGGAGGAGGGCGGCGGAGGAGGAGGAGGAGGAGGGAGGAGGGAGGAGGGAGGAGGGGGTTCACATGCAAGCAACTCTCGAAGTTGAAGAGCCCGACGTTTCCCCAAGACGCAGAGAGACCAAGCCTTGCTTGCCACATGCCTGGCGTCACGCCTTGCAAGGGAAACCTGCAGAGTATATACATAGAAGTAGAAGACGTACAAGCAGAAGCAGCAGCAGCAGTAGAAGCAGAAGCAGAAGGAACATAGCAGTAGAAGAGGAGGAGGAGGAGGAGGAGGAGGAGGAGGAGGTGCGAGTACAAGTGAGTGCCTGAGTCACAAGAAATCTCAGAGAGGAGCGAGCTCCATCACCTGAGGCCGAACGTGGAAGGCACAAACACTTCGATCGCCTCATTGCTCACTATCGTCTCGTCCACGTGGATCATTAGCAGCCCGTCCAACTGCCAACAGTGAACGAGAGCAGCAGCAGCAGCCTCAGTCTCACAACCTGACTCCAACTCGCGCGCCTGATGGGCGAGAACGATCGTCCTAGAGGGGCCCCAGCACGCTTGCTGACCACCGAGCCGTTGATGATGTCACCCGAGGAGGAGGAGAAGTCCAAGAGACGGAGGTAGATGACGTCATCGCTCTGCAGCTTCTGGTTGATCGTCACTTTCAAGTCGAGGGTCGCGCAGCCTGGCAAGATAAAGTGACCAGGAGTGAAGCACGTGACGGGCCTCACCCGCTGCAATGCTGTGAGCAAGTCTCCCGCAGGGGGAGAAGGAGAGCGAAATGCCCGCAAACTTGACGAAGGAGAAATTCTTGAAAACTTGCAGCGAGTTGTTGAGATCTCGCAAGTTGAAGACGATCTTCACGTTCTCCATGAAGTTGCTCATCCCTGTCGCATCATCTCAGATGCGTCACAGGTGATGATCGGGCAGGGACCATCTGGTGGAGTCCTCAGGCCCGAAGAGAGGGGAAGTGAGAGGTTTGTGATATGAAGGGCAGGAATGCTTGTCGGCATGACATAAGTGAACTTCATCACTTGCTGCGTCGCTTCCCAAGAAGCCGTCCACCCCAATGTCCCTCCCCTATCGCAAGCATCAGCTCACATCTCCTCTCCTCTGCCTCACCTTGTCACCAGCGCTGTGGGATCAGGCTGCACGTCGCTGTCCACGGAGAAACCTGCATAGCAGTGAGGCTCCATGGCTCCAGCAGGCAACCAGCAGACCCGGCAGAGTGATGGCGATGTTGTCGAGCTGATGGATGTCGACCATGCTGGTGACCTGCAGCTTCATGGACGTGTACGAGCCCACGAGGATCGGGTCGAAGGTGAGGGAGAGCACAAAGTCAATCTGGCTTGAGCTCAGGAGTCTGCGGCTGCTTGAGGAGGCAGGGGCATCTTGTTTGGATGTGATGTAGATGGTCGCCTCGGGGTCAAGTGAGGCAGCTGCTGACAGCACTCCAACAACTCCAAGCGCAAGGAGCCACAGGGCTTGCGACAGGTTGAAAGACATGCTGCGTTCAACCCGAGAGCTCTGCTGCTTCAATCTCTGACATGCGGGAGAGGCCCTAAGTCGATCCGTGAGGGACCCTGACTAGAGGCAACTCAGCACTGAGTCACTTCACAGCACAGAGTTGACAGCAGTGTGCACCTACACCGTCTCCCTCTCCTGAAAGTCTGGCAGTGTGCACCTACACCGTCTCCCTCTCCTGAAAGTCTGCCTGCCTGCCTGTCTGCCTGTCTGCCTGTCTGCCTGCCTGCCTGCCTGCCTGTCTGCCTGCCTGCCTGTCTGTCTGTCTGTCTGTCTGTCTGTCTGTCTGTCTGTCTGTCTGTCTTTCTCTCTTCCCCTTGCTCTCCTGCTTGTCAATTTCATGCCAGTTGGTCTCTACTGCCGCAAGTCGCGGATACCAAGTGACTCTCACGGATATTCCAATGGATACTTTCACGGATACTCAGATGGATACTTTCACGGATACTCAGATGGATACTTTCACGGATACTCAGATGGATACTTTCACGGATACTCAGATGGATACTTTTATGGATACTCCTGAATATTTCCCGGATACTCACAAGCGAATGCCTGCAGATGCGACCGCAAGGCGACCGGGACAAGAGCAGCAGGTCCCTCCCTCCTCTCCGTCTCCTCCCCATCACCCTCGTCTCCCTTCTCTTCTCTTCCCTTCCCTCACTCGCTTCCCCTTCTCTCCTTTCCCTTCTCCTCTCCATCTCCTTGTGCCCTCCCTCCCTTCTCTGTCTCTGCTTGGCTCTCCCGCTTCATTCCTGTCTGCCTGTCTTCTCTTGTTCCTTCCCAACTCCATGACCGTCTCGTTCTTCTCACGTCTTCTTTGAGCAGTGGGTGACTCATGGAACCTGACGCGCCATGACGCATCTCAACTCAGCGGCGCAGAGGCGGAGCTTCGCCCCCGCATGTCTTGTGCTGGCGTTCTCACTAGCTCGCGGCCTCGACGTGCACGCCTTCGACCGACCTCAGACTTCTACGCTCAGTCTGCGTGGTGGAGAGGTGCATGGAAGTGGCAGGTACGAGCGAAGGCCAGGGCAGGTGAGCGAGTCAGTAAAAGCTCGACGACGATTTGCGTGACGCGCGTGCAGCGAGGTCACCAGCCTCAATCACATCAGAACCGAAACAGGAGAGACGTGCTGTATACCATCACGGTACCGCACACTTGCCGGTTTGAGGCATGACGAACGATGGCAGGATAAAGATTTTGCGGAGGAGAACATTACAAACAAGACCGAGCTTCTGTCTATGGCTATGGCGTCTTGGAGGTCCAGGTGAAATTACCATATGTTTGTGCTCATTGTGGATTCTGAATTTGTATGATACGTGGGAATCAATCTAGCGATGATGAGGCGTCTATACAATGTTTCAAACTGGCCATGGATTTGGATCCGGCAGATCCCGGTCGATTACCATGCTCTCTTTACCCTCGCTCTCTTGTTTTCTTCGTCGTTCTTAGCCTTGATCCCATCCCATCGCTTATCGCTGATGTCTCGGCAGGCCCGATGATTGCAACAGGAATCATCTTGCAGCAACGAAGACGACCTGAGGAAGCATTGGCAATGGTGATCTGCTCCTCTCCTCTCCTCTCCTCTCCTCTCCTCTCCTCCTCTCATTTATGTGCAGTTCGAAAGTGCTCTGTCGGTAGAGCCCAACAACACACAGGCTGCTTGGTGATCTTGTGGAAGAGGATGAGTATCAGATTTGACGCAGCTGGCAGTCTGTTAGCATCGCTGAAGGTTGAGTATGGGCAGTGCGATGAAAGCAGGTAAGAGTCTGAAGCAAGAAAGCTTTGTCTGCCTTTTAGACAATGCTTGCTCGTCCTTCCCCTCCCTTCCCCTCCGCATGTCTGAACATTTATCAGACGGCTGGTGGAACGAGCATTAGAACTCGATCCTAATGACCACAAGATCGTCAGTTTGATGGGCGAGGTGAGGCAGGAGGGGGGAGGACCGCGCTCAACGTCATCGCAGATCCTTCTCTTCTCGTACGGAGAAGGAGCGGAAGCGGAGAAGCTGCTCTTGAGAGCGCTAGAGCTACGACCGGAGCACGCGCCTTCTCTCTGCCTGCTTGGCATCCTCTACTGGAAGGGAGCTCCTCTCTCCGCAAGTGTGACCTGACGGGAAAGAGGAGGTGAAGGAGGAGACGTGACTGGGTGTGCAGCTGCGGGACAAGCTTTCATGCCAGACTTGAATCGAGCAGAAGATTGTTTTAGGAGGGCTCTGAAATCTGTGAGACGGGGAGGAGGGGTGGGGTAGAGGGTGATTGAGGTGCGCAGGACCCGTGCTTCACCCTCGCTCTAGTCAGCTTCTCTGAGTTTCTGATACAAGTGAAGGCAGGAAGAGTGAGACGCACGTGCTGACTTGCTTGTAGTCGTCGAGTTGTCTGCCTCGAGCTCGTCGCCTTGAGAGGTTCGGATATTGTCTGTGTCTGGTTGTCTTGCCGTCTGGTCGCTTGTCACGGGAGCCTTCAGATGCCTCGCTGTTGAACCGCTTCTCCTCCGTGCCATCACCATCAACTACATGGACGTTCAGACCTGGCTGATCTTGTTTCGCTTCCTCTGGCTCGTAAAAGGAGATCTGCCAGGTCCTCATCTTCCTCTCGTCCTCCCCCTCTTTGCACAGTCTTGTCGCACTTTTCCTCCTCCTGTGACCTGCCCTGACTCTTTTCGTTCAAAGCTGCCGAACATGCTCTCACCACAGCCTTGTATGCCACCTTCATGTATGCTACCCCGAACCTGGTGATGGAGAGGAGAGAGAAACAGAGAGAGGGAAGGGAGGAAAAAGAGGAGAGAGGAGAGGAGAGGAGAGGAGAGGAGGGAGGAGGGAGGGAGCTGAACGTGGGTGTCTCGCAGCTCGACATGGAGTACATGGAGTCGAAGAAAGATGCCAAGGACATTGAGAAGATCAATAGACTAGACGAGAAGGAAGTTTTCAAAGATTTCTTTGAAGCTCTCAAGACGAGCGGAGAGGAGGAGGCTCTCCGTAAGAGCGCAGCCAAGGCTGTGAAGAAGTGCATGCAGTTGACGGAAGAGGAGGTGAAAATGCTGGAGGCTCGTCACCTCGACAGGTTCAACAACTCTTACAAGACGAGGTCGAACGTTCGCAACGATCCGCACCATCAACTTTGCAACATGAACACAAAGATAGGAGAAGAGCTGCTGTGGAAGGACTTTCGGGTGAAAGGAGTCTCAAAGAAGACCCTGAGGAGCGTGCTGGATGAGGCAGCGAATTACATGCACAGGTGAAGCGAGCTGAGAAGCCGAGAAAGGATGAGTCCAGTCTTCACTCAATCATCCTCACTCGATCATCCTCACTCGATCATCCTCACTCCATCATCCTCACTCGATCTCCTCCACGTGTTCTTCCTCTCTTCCAATTCTTCTCTTCCTCTCCTCTCATGTAGCTCGCAGCGTCCATGAGTACTTCGATGCGGCCGAGTACTTGTCAGCTCTCGCCCTGCAGGTCAGCAGGGAGCTCTTGCCCAGCTGGTTGACAGGCCTGCTGTCACGTCCAGGTGGACCCGGAGGATCGGCTGGGGAATGCCGTCAGCCTGGCAGGACGAGCAAAGACGCTGATGAAGCTGACGGGGAAGAAGACGGAAGGAGAAGCAGGTGAGCGTCGCTCGGACTCGCTCGCCTCTAACGCTCCGGCAGTGCTCAAGGAGGCGATTGAGATGCTGGAGACTCAGCTGGTCGAGTGTCGCTCCCTCCCTGCAGAGGCGCGGGAAGTGCAGATCTCTCTGATGCTCGTGCTGCTCGAGCTGACGCACCTCAAGATGGTGAGGGCGATGAGGAGGGGATGAAGAAGAAAGGACTTCTTCTTCATCGCTGCGATGAAGATGAAGAAGAAAGGACTGGGCAGGAAGATGAGCATGTTGTTGTAGATGAGACGTGGAAGATGATGAGTTTGAAGGTTGAGGTTGACGAGCGTTGTAGTTGTGATGGGAGTGATGCCAAAGAATACTTTTAGACCATCGAGATGATGTCGATCGACGATCATGATCCTTGACTCTTCTCATCCTGACTTTTGATGTTGAAAGGATCTTGCAAGCTCGTCGCATTATTCTCCAGCGATGAGTCAGAGACGCCACTGATGATGTGCGAGGGTTGACGAGCTTGTTCAGAGAGGCAGCACCTGGAGGAGCTCGAGTCCATCGCCTCTCGAGCTCTTCTCTTAGCGCAGACAGTTCAGGTCAAGTCATCGGCTCCTCTAAGGTCGCAGCCACTTTCTCACAGCCTCTCAGGTCCCAACGCTTCTCGTCCCCTGCTACTTCAACTTCGCACTCGTCCAGTGGGAGCACAAGAAGTGAGACTGCTGACGTCATCGCCCGCCTTTCCTCATCTCCTCCTGTTCAGAGACGTCGAGCAAGCGCTATCTGCCCTCAAGTCAGCAGAGGAGCTGGACCCCAAACATGCACGGGTAAGACGAGGATAGAGGAGGGCAGGGGAGGGAGGAGAGGAGGTTCGAGAAATAAGATTCTGGCAGACGAAGTTGTTGATAGCACAAGTCTACTGGAAGTAAGGGTCTTGTATTTGAGCATGCAGACTGAGATTTTGCAGGGGATCGAAGGACTTTGTGAAAGCAGAGGAGAAGGTGGGGCATGCCTCGTCTGTCGCTCCTCGTTGACTCCTCTTGTCGTTCAGTTGAGGGAGCTGCTGATGCTCGACGACCTCCCAGAGGAGATCAGGCGCACGGGGCTGACAGGTGGGAGGACAAGCCTGCCTGCCTGCCTGCCTGCCTGCCTGCCTGCCTGCCTGCCTGCCTGCCTGCCTGCCTGCCTGCCTGCCTGCCTGTCTGCCTGCCCTGCTGTGTCGATGACCTTGTCGCAGATCTTATGTCAATCTTATCGAGATTCCCGGGGCGAGAGAGGTGAGGGCAGGAAGCAAGGGGAGGAACGAGAGGAGCTGACGAGCAGGCGGCAGGTATCACGAGGCCGCGGAGCTCTTCCTACTCCTCGAGGTGGACCTGCTCGCAGTCGCTCGTCTCGTCTCACTCTCCCCCAGACTCTCCTGCCGGACTCAGAGGCGGTTGAGCAACATCGCAACTACTTGCAGACAGTCTGCCCTGAGGTGACGGAGATGAGAACAAGTCGAGGCGACTTGCGGTTGAGACGTCGGGTCACAGGTGATGGAGGCAGTTCAACGTGAGAAGTTGGAGGAAGCTGAGAGCAACATGGTGATTGGAGAGGAGAGAGAATGCGATCTCTCACGCATGAGCAGGAGATGAGGGCGAAGAACATCATCACACAACATCTTCTGGTGGGCCCTGACCTGTTCCCTGTTCTCTGTCGCTGTTTCTGTCTTTCTGACGCTCTTCTTTCTCTCAGGGCACATGTGCGATATCGACAGTCTCAGCTGGTCGCGCGATCCTCGAACTTCCTCCTCCTCACCTTCGCGCAGGTCCGCTGGCACATCGCGTGCTGAGGAAGACGATGAGGCTGCTGGTGGCTGTCGGGTCGATCGAAGGAAGGGAACTTGAGGAACATTGCCAGCAGCAGGAGGGCGGAGAGAGAGTGGGAGAGACGGAAGGGGGGGGGGGGGAGGAGGAGGAGGAGGAGGATGACCAGATCGCCTTCTTTGCCAGTATGGATGGGCCGGCAGTGTGTGGGATGACCTGGGGTATGGGGAAGGGCAACAGAAGTTGCGAGCTGTTGGCGGAGGAGGAAGCCTTGATGAATCTGATCGAGGAGATGGCCGAGAGGAGGGTAACTGAGGAGGAGGGAGGAGTCGACCTAGTGACCCTCTCGTCTCCAGCTAGTGAGCCCAAGTGTCATCGCTCTAGCAACCACAGCAACTCTACAGGTCTGCCGGCACCCTCGTTAATTCCTGCCTCCCCCTCCTCGCCGTCAGACAATCTTGTGACGGAAACGTTCAGGGCATTGACAACCTTCGATCTCGCTTTCCAAGAACCATCGTTGTGCTAGCAAGTCTGGTGAGGATCACCAGTGCTGCTGCTGCTGCTGCTGCTGCTGCTGCTGCTGCTGCTGCTGCTGCTGCGGACCTATCGGACAGTAATGCAACTGCAGGTTGGTCGGTTGTCAGCAGGAGGATGGATAGATTTTTATCCTCTGCGGGAGCTGCTCGCATCAAGGCTGGATGTTGGTCGACCTCCTGTTGTGTTCGTCTTGACTCGCTTCTCAAGATCCGCCAAGAATTCGTCGACATCTGCCTTGCCGCTCTTCGCCGTCGATGGCAGCAGGTGGAGTTACGTGTCAGTAGCGCAACAGAGGGAGGCAGTGGCGGAGGAGGGTTGAGCCACGGAGAGTTAGCATGCGAGACGATCGAGTGAGAGGAGGAGGTTGGCTACTGAGCTGGAGGGCAGGGGGGATGGTGTGCGGATGGTCAAGCATGGACTTGCTGGGGAATCGTCGAGCTCGAGGAGGAGATGATGCCTCCGGAAGAGACCTACAACGAGAGCGCCGTCCCCAACTGCAGCATCGCAAGCGTTCGAGACCTCCAGGGTGAACCAGCCTCCTGCTGCTCCCGTCCTCATCCTCCCTGTCCTTGTCCTCCTTCCGCCCAGTTGTCGTCTTCGACCTCCATCACCTTGTCCACCTCGTCCTCTTGCCTTCTCCTCTCCTCGTTGCTCACTCACACCAGGTCCTCTTCCTCGAGGAGCTGCTCGTCGAAGGCTGGAGAAGGTCCAGCAGCTTCTCCTCCCTCGTGTCTGACTCGTCAGCAGCTTTGCCACGAAGTCCACGAGCAGCTCAAGCCTCATAACCTGACCACCTACGAAGATGTTGGGCATCTCAGCCGCTTCCTGCTCACCCTCTTCCTCCCCTCCGCCTCCCCCATTCTTCCTCCTCCACTCTCCTCCACCGCAACCGCCACGATTCTCCTCCTGCTCTTCCTTTTCACTTTCTCCACTTCCTTCACCTTCACCTCCTCCTGACTTGCTGCGTCAGATTGGAACATTTTATGATCCTGCGCTGCAAGTGTGCCCGGAAGACATCGGCAACACCATGTGAAGACAAGGGGAGGGGAGGGGCCGAGACTCTGACGGGGCTGACAGCCAAGTCATGTCCAACAAGCTTGAACCAGAGGACCAGCAGTACGGTATGTCTCCTTCACTTCCTCCTCGGGCCCCAGCTCACTTACTTCTTCAGCTTCAAGCTTTCACCCGACAGCCCGCGGCCAGGGCAGAGCAGGGCAAGACAGTCAGAGGTCTGCGGCGAGAGAGATGAGCAACCTGAGGGAGGAGGCGTACATGTCCAGGAGAGCCTCGGACTCTCAACGGAGTCCGTCGGGCAGGTCACCCGAGAGTCCGCGTCTCACCGGCGCCTCCATGCCCCTCGGCTTGTGACTCTCTTGCAGGTCCTCCGGCTCACGGCCACTGCGACCTCGGGTTGGTGATCGGACGCGCGACGACTCTAACCGTTACTACTAAGTTACGGTAGTACTAGGCACCGTTACGGTGACCAAGTTACTAGAAAATGGCTGCACGGGGCTCACCTGCGCGCAGTTAAGTGAAGGTATCAGTTAAGTTTGGGGGACAGCAGTTGGCAGGATCATCGGATTAGGTTTGGTTCTCGCTGTCACTGTCTTTTCTCTTCTCGCCGTTTGGCCTGTGCGGCGACAGTGTCAGGGTCAAGCCGGGCCTCCTCGACTCAGCTCAGGGCCTGACCGTCTGTCCTCGTACTGAACTTTAACTTTGAGTAAAGGCCGCACTACTAGCCGGGGCTCACTTAAGTTGCGAGTTCAAGTCCGACCTCAACTTTCAAGTCACCCGGGCGGCCCCGGCCCGGACTCGGACTCGGATGGGGGCCGGCCGCTGGATGACGTCACCGTGACTGATAGCTGACAGATAATTGTGAGGCCATCTGTTGGGCCTCCCATTCATCGTAACGGTATTGTAACGATAAACAACAAGTTCCGTAAAAGGTTATTACTTGTACTTGATTCTATCCAATTTGTACGAATTAGTTTTATAATTTATTTTTAGTTATATCTTGTACTGAATCTTAACATTGTACAATATATAAGTTCTATTAGAAATTGGAACAAGGTCAAATCTTTCATTTTTATTTGAAATAATTCAATATTTCAATGAAGTATTTTGATTTTCAGGGATGACTCTTGAAAATGTCTGAAGGGGGGCCGACAGGGGGTCGCATCATTTTATAAATATGTTGTAGTGCTGACTTATAAGTTTTTAGGTTCTCATCCACTACCCCCCAGTTTCTCCTGACTGCACTACCAAGTGAAGGTGGGTGGACCGGTCTTGACGGATGAAGGCGCATCACGACAGGGGTGGGTGGAGAATAGATGAAGGTGGGTTAAGAGAAGCTAAAGATGGGGGTAGGGGTAGTAATCAATGGATGGGTAGGGTAGCCATCTTTATATCTATCTGCCCACAACTTGCATCTACCGTAGGCTCGTTTCCCTCCTCCTCCTCCTCCTTCTCCTCCTCCTTCTCCTCCTCTTCCACGCTATCGTTCCTTTTGAGCTACTTCTCGACCTTTAACTCTTTCCTCTCGTTGTGTTTTCTTGATCTCTAGCCAATCTGCTGCTCCGTTTCAACACTACAAACCAGTGCTGTCAATCAATTGAAGAACCACAAAGTTGATCATGAAGGCATCAGCTGCGATCCGAAGGGCCTTTCACATGGGCGGAAATGAAAACTTTCATCGTGTTCTTGTCAAGGCTGCTGTGGTAACATCTGTCATTGGCGGTGGCATCTTGTCTGGCATCGAAGCTGCAAGAATAGGTGAGTCGAGAGAGCGCTGTGGTTCAAATTCTCATGTTGTAACAGGATCTGAGTCTCTCGACAACCTCACAACAAGCGAGGTCAGAGACTTCAATGATTACTTCATGTGCCACGTCTGGTGATCCGTTACGGATATACGGATACCGGCTGTCTCCATAGCAATGTAGATATCTCGCTGTACATACTCCACGGGAGCTTTAGCCTCTCAGCCTGATTCCTCCTTGTTTTGAAAGCAGAAAGAATGAAGAGGCGACCTCCCTGCGCATTGTTGTTCTCCTACTTCAATGTTTGGTTCAGGGGAACTCCGAATGGGGTCTCTGCCATGTTCACGACCCTCCGACTCTACTCGGACCGTTTGATTGCGAACTCGTCGGATTGTGGATCTATCCCCGAGCTGCTTTGTCTCTGATTTGAGGGATGTTAGTTGAAAGCATCTAGTGCAACCCGCTGCTATCTGACAGCCTCTGACCGTCACTGGTAGACCGTCACTGACTTACTCAGTTCAGGCTTTGTGACTGTGAGTCCGTGACGGACAGTGACTCTCGCCGGTCAGTGGCATCCGGTGGGCGGCCCGCCCGCCCGCCCCCCCCGGGCCGGGCCGCCGGGCAGTCACGGTGACCCAGTACGCGGGCCTTTACTCAAAGTTAAGTTAAAAATCAGTACGAGGACAATCAGGAGAGTCGAGGAGGCTTGACCCTGACCGTGACTGTCACTGTCGCGGGCCTGGCCAGGCGCGGGTCCGACCCGGTGACCGGCACGGCGCCGCACTCAGGCTGTGCGCCGAGCGCTCGGCGGGGAGTCTGAGGCCGGGCTAGCCAGTGACCGGACCCGTGACCGCTGAGGCTCAGAGTCAGGCACCGTCCGAGTCCGTGACGGTGCACAGGCTGACCGTCCGACCCGGACCGCCCGGCGGGCGCGGGCCCGGGGGCTCGGCCGGGCTGCATCATTGTGACCGATGACTCGAGTCCGATCGCCCTCCAGGCTCGGAAGCCTTCACCGGATGATTCGGGCCGGGCCGATCCGATCCGATGATCGGCCCACTGCAAACTTGAACTGAAAATCAGATCGAATCGTAGAACTAAACTGATTTAAACCTACCACTAAGGGTTGTGCCCCATTACAGGTTATTTTGAACCCCATCACCGCCCAAACACGCCAAGTGTCTGAGTACCCCTCATTTTGAGGTTATTAGTACCGGTTTGGAATACCATCCCAATGCTCCTACCCCTTCATCGCCGTACAGAGATATATTATGTATTTATAAATTAGTCAAATACCTGTGGTCTCTCAAAGATTTGATACAATATATATAAAATAAATATAAGAATATCGAACTGTACCACATTTAAAAACTATTTATAGTTGATTTCATACACTATTTTGTACCAACACCCTCGCAAGTGGGTATTAATGCATTTTAAATGTATATCTGTTGTAATCTCCGACAACGGAGGCCGTGCCATGGCAGGACTTCCAGTTTCTATGAAGCTGCTCTCCCTCTCCCTCTCCTCCCTCCTCCTCCTCCTCCTCATTTCCTCCTCAAGCTCGGCTCCAGCACCCAAGACGTGTTCTACTGGTGTTGAGGAGGAGGCTGGCGACCAGGTGAACATAGACATACAGCAGTCCTAGTTTATTGCAAGTTTTTCCAATCTGTTTTCATCGATCTGCATGTGTTGTATCAGCTTGTGTAAACTCAGATGTCATGTAATTCATTCTGATATTATTTCTTGAAGCCGGTGGATGGAGCTCACAATGCCAGACTTGGCTTTGAGTTCATGAAGCATGCTTCGCAAGACCCTTCCCTGATGGCCGATGCCATGAAGGACATGCAGGACCCTGAGACGATGCAGAAAGTGCAGGAGATGATGCAAGATCCCAACTTCCGTGAGACTGACTGGAAGACGAGTGACAGGCCATGACATGTTGCTTGCAGGCGCGGAAGTGGAGAGGATGAAGGCTCAGATGATGAAGGACCCATCGATGCGCAGGCACATGGAGATGATGAAGAACAACCCCGAGTACATGCAGCAGATGGGAGAGAGGGTGAGGCCTCTTCACTCTCCTGATCCTCCTCACCTCCTTACCACAGGCGATGAACAAGATGAAGCAAGCCGGCATCGATCCCAATAGCATGGGCGGTATGGGAGGAATGGGAGGAATGGGCGGCATGGGCGGCGGTAGGACTGGCAATCGTTTTGCTTGAAGTGCCTCCGTGTACAATAAAGAAGAAGAAGCGAGCAGGGATATCTGCTGCCCTCGTTCCGTTGTGATAGCCATCAATAGAGGAAGACGCGATGATTCTGTCTTGTCACACAATCGACTACAACGATGGTCATTCCGATGATGAGGTGGCTTTAGTTTAATAGAATCATTCAAGGAACTCCTGGCGTCTGAGGCAGAGGAGTTTGAGGCAGAGGAGTTTGAGGCAAACTGAGACTTCCTCCGCCCTGCATCTCGAGTTACTCGCAGACGTCAAAACCATCACACGTCACAACCTGCTGCTGGTTGGCGTTGAACTCATTGGGATCGATGGACTTGCCATCTGGTGATATCAGATCTTGCCACACTGCGGAGAGCGAACTCTTCCGACGCAATGTGTTTGTCAGGTCGGAGAATCTGCAATGATCTATCAGCCTCAGGGGGCAGCAAAGCAAACTTGACCTCCTCTCCCATTGTTCCCCTTGGCCGGTAGCATAGAACATGCGTCGGGCTCGTATTAACCATGACCTGCAACTTGTTCACAAGCATCGGGCAAACAAGCTCAGCCGACCTCATGGTGGTCTTGGTCTGTGAGTTGACAACATTTTGTTGGCAGTGCTTGAACCATGTCTCCACGTTCTGCATAGCATGTCAGGAAGGAGAATGTCAAACAACTACATCAAACCTGTTCATACAACGGCAAAATCTTTGAAGACAGTGTCGGACACAAGAACTAGACCACGATTAGTTGTGTTTCACACATGATATCCATTCTTGTACTAACCTCCATCACAGAATCTGCGGCTTCCCCATTGCTCACGATCTATCAAGTTAATTGTCAGTGTAATTTCACTGATTTGAAAGTGCTTACCTGTTCTAACCAAGGCCAGATGGCATCTATAATGCCGTTGGGTTGCTTTATCACGTCTGTCCCTAGTGCTTCCAAACCATTCTGGCCTTGAGTCAAATGAAGAACCAAGATGTAGAAAAGCCAAACCTTTACAGCATTTACAGCGGCGTTCACATCCTCTTCAGCTACAGAAGCCAATATTGCCGCAGCCTGCAACAAGTAAATCGGATGGAACGTCATAGCAATGAAACTAACCCTCGAATGCAGCCCGTCTCTGACAAGCACTTCGAATCTGACTTCTAGTTTGAATCGTGAATCATTCAGTGCAAGGGATTGGAGCTGTTGTTGTCTCAGAGAGAACTTCTGAGGAGAAGACAATCGTTGCAAGGCTTGCAAATGATTCCAACTTGGCTCCCACCACATTTGAAGCTCTGCCAGTTGCAAGGCGGAGTTGCTGTCCCCAGATTTTTCAGCGGCATCAATGAAACTTTGCAAATTGCAAGGTCTGTAGTTCCTGGTATTTTCAAATTGCGCGTAAGGGAGTTCTTGGGCTTCTGGCGCACCGATGGAACTTGCCGTAATTGCCATCTTGATTGCAGCAGAGACATCAGATGACTGCAGATACGCTGTCGCGACCTGCAGTTGGGCCGTGGGCTCAAGACTCTCGATTTGTATCTGCTTGAGCGCGCTGGCGAACGGCTGCATTCCTACTTTAGGAGTAAGTTCTTGGAGGGCCCACAGTAAGGCCTCTTGGTTCCGGTTGCCAGCAACAAGAACCACAGATGCGGCTCCGCAGTAGTCACCCAGCCTGTAGAACAGCTTCGCGCAGTTCAAGGCCAACACCGGCATAGCGACCGCACACAAGGCAGCTGCTCTTTCCACCGTGTATGTCGCAGCCGAGTAGAGCGATCCCAGAGGGGCTTCAGAGAGAGGCTGGCTCAAGTGTGTCACGAGATCCTCCGACACTTGCCTCGCCCATTCCTCCGCGTCTCTCCGGGCAGGTTCGATAACTCCACCTCCCCCGTTGTTGGAGGGGTTGGAATTCCGTTGCTGCCACTCTGATTGACTCAAGTGCCCGGTGAGATGCTCCAATATCCACTGCACGTATGGCATTCGATTCTGTATGAGCTGCTCTGGAGGACAGTCTCTTTCGTAGTCTCCAAAAGCGCAATACATCGCTAATCTGACTGCCGTGTCGCTTTGATTGCATGAAGCAAGCTCTGCGCATACTGGCACGCACTTCCCCCCACACGCTAGAGCACTCTGTCTGAACACCATCGGAAGAACATCTCCATGCCTTCCAGCCCTCGCCATGTACGCCAGCGATTTTGCCACATGTCCATGAAAGATTGCATAGTGATAAGCCTCTTTCCACCTTTGCGCCCTCTCGAGCACATGCAACCTCGCTCTTTGTAGCGTCGGAGCTTCGCGTTGTGACAAGTCTGTACATTGTCCTTCAAGAATGGCGACTACAACAGGATGCGTCCATCCCCGCTCGCATGCGCTAACAGCATGCGTTAAAGGAACGTGGGAGATTTGCGGGGTACCACCAGCCACTTCCTTTGCTGCAAGCTTAGACAAACGTTTCAAGCGATTTGCCATCACAGCCAACGCCTGAGGAGGAACACTCCTCGTTGATGTGTGCACGATTGCAAGAACCCAGTATTTCTCTAGTTGCTCGATGATAGCTTTGTAGGCCGCGTATGTTCCCTTACACCACTTGTGCTTGGCGTCCTGTGCTGCACCAGGGCGCCATGTGTTGATGACAATAGCAGATGTGATGCCATCAAGAACTGCAAGAGTTGTTCGGGGGCCTTTTGGGCCCGATAGATGTCCAACAATCGCCTTCATGGCACTGGAGGCTACATCTGTCACATGCTGGAACGAGTGATTGATCGTATCTCCTGGCCCCGGGTCCCCATCGCGGTAACGGTGGAAAGCAAGCAAGCCGTTGACGCACCACCTGCACACGAACAAAGTGAGTTCTAGAAATAGAAGCTTACAAACATGCCTTTGTGCCTCTACTTGCGCTGCTTCATCACAGCCTAGTGCTTGCAGCAACGGACTGTTCGACAACATTTCAGCCCTTGTAAATTCTCTCAAAGCCCTCCAGTATGGGTCCTTGTCATGAGCATGACAGTGTCCAACCTTGAGCCAACCTTTACAATCTGAAGCTTTAACGTCGCATACGTAACAAAAGCAGTTCGGGCAAAACATCTCGTTGTTCCCCCCTTCCTCCTTTCCAACACGTTCTTTTGTCGATCGAAAAGGTCTATTTACACAATGCGCTCTCGCGTGGGGAAGGTCTGAACTGAATGTACCAGTGCTTCCAACGATCACCAGATCATCTTCATCGGCTTCTTGGGACCCATTCATCATGTCAGATTTCACCGGTCTTTGAGGAGCGTTGTTTCCAGAACCACCACCCGCGTTGGAGTTGTTCTGATTCGCCTGGGCGGATTGAGACGGCAATACCTGAGAGTTGTTCATCTGCTGCTGCTGCTGTGACTGAGCATCAGCTGAGTGAGGCGGCATGGGAGATTGAGAATGAGTTCCAGCCATAGGCACAGCATTGCTTTGCATTTGTAGACCTTGAAAGACGCCTTGCATTGCCATGGGTGAAGCAAGCTGTGGCGGCATTGGGCTGAAAGCATGTGAGTATCCCGGATGATGAAGGAATCACAAGTACCTTCCCGCGGTTGCAAGCATACCACTTGACTGCCTGCTGGGAGGATGTGGATGCATCATTCCTGATGGCTGTTGTTGCTGTTGTTGCTGCTGTTGATGTTGCAACATCTGTTGCTGCTGCTGCTGCGAGGATTGTTGCATTTGCTGTTGAAGAGCTTGTTGCTGCTGGTTGTGCTGGGTTGCTCCAACCGACGGACTCGCAGCCTGCTGTTGCTGTTGCTGCTGCAAGGCCTGATTCTGTGACCAAGTTGCCATCGGATTGTTTGGACCCGAACCTGTCATGGACCCTCCTCTAGACAGGGGCACACCAGCCCCAGACATGCTCGAAGAAGAATGCGAGCTAGCCATGGATTGCGACATATTCGATGACCTTGCCAAGGACGCTAACTCCTGCTGCGCAGCAACGAGGTATTGATGTGCGGATTCTAAAGCTAGATTTGGCATGTGAGATTGTAGTTGCATAACGGTTTCTTGCGGGCAGATTCTCCTACAAAAGGGTTAAAAGAAAATACTTGAATCTCCTAAATCCACCTGGCAGTATTTAGTAGAGACGAACAGCGTTGCAATGCTTCCACAAGTCTCGACTAGAAAGTGCTTCAGGCACAACAGACTGAGAGAGAAACTACAGTACCTGACAGCTTTGAAGCCGCGCACCCACACTCTGAAACGATGCCGATGACATCTGTCCACTGCCCTGACTAAAGCCAAAATCAGGATCAAACATGACTAGCGTACACGTACGCTTGCAGCTGCTGCTGAGGGCCTTGAGGGCTGGGCTGAACACTTGGAGATGCCTGCTGCGGTGCCGCTTGCTGTGGAGATTGTATAGAGTGTGAAGGGCTTGGTTGACCTTGTCCAGCAGAGCCCTGCTGATTCAAGAAAAATTAAGAACTCAAACTATGAATCCAGCTGCAAGTTGTTCTCTCTGCAGACACTCACCATCGCTTGAAATCTTTGTTGCTGTATCTATGTGCATATCTCAGTATTGACAAAACGAAATGAACATGACACAAGTTATCACCTGTGCGCTTGTTGGTTGTCCAATCGAATCTCTTGAGTATCCTTGCATCTAATTCCAGATCAATTTGATTGCACTCACAAGCAAATCTCACCGATTGAGGATGTTGTTGAGATTGCTGATATTCCCAGAAAGAAGAAAAGGATGAAAGTCATACATTTACAGCAGAGCACTTCTTCAAAGAATGAACAAGACTCAACAAATACCTGTTGCATATGCTGTGCGTGCGGAGACATATTTTGCTGAGGATATTGCCCTCCATGAGCTTAAATCAACGTCATTTCAGAACAAGACATCAAGATTCGGGTCACACACCTGCATGCTGAGGGCTCATAGCCGCCATATTCTGTGAAGAATGGGATCTTTGCATAGCATACGGAGCACGCTGCATGCCAGCATGCTGTAGAAATTTGGATTTAGGAACAAAAACAAAAATCCGATGGAACAGAGTGCAGCAATAAACAAGAAGACGCACCTGTTGCTGCTGCTGCTGCTGCTGCTGCTGGTGTTGCTGCTGCTGCTGCTGCTGCTGCAACTGAGAATGAGAATGCTGTTGCTGAAGCTGCAATTATGTTTAGAACAATCAACAAAAAGGAACGAGGTCAAATTCTACCTGCGATTGAGCATGTGGATGTACTTGTCCCCCAACCTGAAAGTCTATAAGAACAATGCAGGTACTTCATTTGAAAATTGATGTTTCATACTTGACCCGGAAACGATTGCCCTTGCCCGGGAGATGGATATCCCATCTGTGACATCAGCAATTTAATGCTAATCTTCGATTCTTGCAGTCATCACCTGCATGTGTCCAGATTGGTTGTGTGGCATCATCGATCCTTGCACCATTCCACCTTTCGACATGCAATCAAGGACGTATCTCACTCCCAGATAAATTACACTACCTTGATTCATCCCACCAGCACCCATAACATTCGGGTTCAAAGCACCAGGAGGCATGTTTACTTGCTGTGAGAGACCTGCCTGTGCCATGCCCGGCTGCGACATGCCCGGCTGCGACATACTTGGATGGGGCATCCCTCCCTGTGCAAGGTTTGCATGCGGCATCCCTGCTTGAACTAAATTTGCTTGGGAAATATTCCCTTGCGACATTCCAGGACTCATTCCAGAGGGCATTCCCATTTGAGACATTCCGGATCCTTGAATGGCATTCGGCATCATGTTGCTGCCTACAGCTCCTGGAGGTAGCCCTCCATGAGACATCATTGCTTGTGAGATGGCAGACTGAGGCATAGAAGCCGCAGGCATACCAGCCATGGACATGCCATCGGGAATGCTTGGGCCTGAGGCCGATTGCATTCCTGGCCCCATATGAGCAGCAAGATTCGATGATGAGCTTCCCCGACTCGGAGGACCTCCGTATGAGGACCATCCGCTCGGCATGGAGCCTTGCATGTGCTGTTGCGCCTGTTGCACATGCTGCTGCTGGATGTGTGCCTGCTGCTGTGCCTGTTGCTGCTGCACCATCTGATGATGAAGCTGTTGCTGCTGGATTTGTATCAGGTTACTTTCTAACATAACACATATCAATCGCATGCTACCTGTTTCCCAGAGACTTGCATTCTTGCATGACCACTACCTTGATCGCCAGATGTGTCCATCTGAGGGTGAGACGCGCCATTCTGACCATCATCTAATGACGAATTCAGGGGAGTTGACGGATTTCCACTACTTCGACGCTTGTTTGCTCCACTTGACGACGATGTCCTGGCTCCTGTAGGCGGTCGTCCCGAGGCAGAGCCCTGTCGGACAAGCTGAGGTGGTGAAACGACGGTCTCAGTTTGAGCTGGAGGACCGCTTGTTGGAGGTCTAGCTGGCCCACTAGTAGGAAGTTGTTCACCGCCCCACAAGAGAGATTCTGGGGTTTCAAGAGAGTCGAATTCCCCTTTCGACCCCGAGAAGTCGGAGGGTGCAGGACCCAGGTTCAAGAAGCTGTCCGAGGCTAGCTCGCCATCTTGCCCCCCAGATTCTAGCCCATCACCGAACAGCTCATTTAGAAACATTGAGTTCGAATCAAGATCCATGACTCCTTCGTCCATGGTCACAACGAAGAGGGTGAAGGGGTTGGCTAATCAACGAAAGGCTTGTTCGAAAGGCTTGTACCGAAACAAACCTCCTAGAATCTCAGGGTAAGGTATCGGAGCTCTCAAAATGGTCAGCTTCAAACCAAGTAAGGTAAAATCGAATCGCAAACAAATATTAGAGGCAAAGCTCAGGCCTACACTCCATTCGGTGTTGGTAAATTCAAAGTAACAAGGTATGGATCAACAAGTGTCCGTATCAAGCTAAATGATAGATGAATCTTCAATGAGCCCCTTTTTTGATGAATAGTTGATCAAGATGAAACGTCATTCAGGAGAATTGTTCATCGTGCCGCATGTTCTTTCAACTGTGCCCACTTCGAATCACTTCCCAACTGCCTGTGCATCAGCACCAACTCTCTGGTTTCGAAAGAACGTCAATCACCCGCCCTGCCTCCAGGAGAAGCTTGAAAGAGCAAGCGACAGGTGAAAGGAGGAATCAGAACAGGTGCTCCGATCGTCCTGTCGATCCCCTCCCCTCCTCCTTGTCGTCCTCTCCGCCGACAATGGCGCGCTGACTCCTTCTCTCCCCCGTCGTGTCTCCAGACCCTCAACTTCTGTTTCAAATGACCCCCAGGTGAACCTATTATTTGTATGGTATTGTTATTTAATTAACAATGATCTGTACCAGCATCTCATATTCTTATGACCCACCCCTTCCAGAGTATTCAATTCCTCACCGCCCCGCCCCCTCCACCCCCTCTGTGCGCTCCACCCCCGTCTGCTCCCTCTGTCTGATCTCATCCCTTACTTCCAATAATTCCAGTACCCCTACCTATTCCCTTGATCACCCCACATCCCCACCGGTCTCACCACCCCCTTTTCGGTAGTTCAACCCGTCTGACGTCCATGAATCATCCAGAGTACCCACCCTTTCTAATTCAAACAAGAGTCTTCTAGAATGACCCCTCCTTACACTACCCTTATACACAATTACCCCACCCCCCGCACCTACTTTACTGGTTCGATTTAAAAGATTTGTAGAAAGGCCTCTCTGTCAGAAGGTAGTACGGGAGACAGCGGTATCTCATTTAGCTTAACAGTAATAATTAAGGTACAAACCACGCAATAGTACCAAGATATGTAAAATATTCTAGGGAGTAAACTGCGTAGTGGCTCCATCAGTGGTACCAAGGTATTCAGAACTTATATAAAAAAATCTTTAAATATATTTTTTTCATTGGTATAATTATCATTCATGGTACTTTCAGCTGATACATAATAAAATAATATTACAAAATATGATTTCAAGTCTATAATCTTTATACATTTGAGTACCGGCTGATTCAAAATTTTGTCAGTGCGACAAGTACCCGTAGGGTGGTTGGGGTATAGGGGGTAGGATAAAGGAGGGGTCCTCAATAGCCCATTCGACGAGATACGTGAGGGTGTTATCGAGGTACCAGGGGTACTTAAAGCCGTACTCATAGTAAATTTAATAATGTACTTCTGGGGTTACAGGCTCGTTGAGGGCACGGGGGGATGGGGGGTAGGGGTCAGGACCCGGAGGGGGTGAGGGTACGGCACAAGGATGGTCGAGAGAGAGACAAGACCCCTGTTTGCTCAAAGGGGTCGAATTACCCTTCGGAGTAGGGGTGAATCTTAGACAAAGAGGGGGTGGGGGTTATCTGAGTGAACGACCTGCTTGAACACGCTGAAGGGGGCGGATGATGGGCGTCCCGGCTCAGTGACGGCGACCCGGCCCGGGCCCAGGCCAGGGACCGGGCCCTGCCTTGAGTACTGAGATTTTCTGAGGCGGACCGTTCTCTTTCGTCAGCAGTAGAGGAGAATCCTGTCTTGTGATTTCAAATTATTCCTAGGAAAAGTTCAACTTACAAGAGGGATTCAGCAACCTCTTTTCAAAAGTGTCTGAGCATGCTCACGGCGAGCTACGGGGCTTGTGAACAGGGCGAGCACTTTCAAGGGGGAGAGGACGAGAGAGGGAGGAGGAGGGAGGGAGGGAGGGAGGGAGGAAGAAGGAGGGAGGGAGTGAGCAGGACGTGGGGAAGAAGAGAGAGTTAGAGAGCTGAGAGTGCAGAGGGAGGAGGGAGGAAACAAAAGCTGCAAGGCAGGACCCGAGGAGAGGTAGAGGGGAGGAAGAGGCACCGAACTAGACGCAGTACCAGAACTTGTCCCCGCCAGACTCGGACCGACCCACCCTGTTCGTTCAGATCAAGCACGATGTCCGATCCAGCAGAAATTCATGCTACCAACAGCTCATGCGAGACTCCTTCTGGTTGTGCGAGCGAGGGAAAGCAAGGGCTACGTCAACGTAAATGTAGGAAGGTGTTGTCCTCTCCAGTCGGCCTGAAGCCTGGCATCGATTACACCATCACAGACTGCCAGGGGCGGTGGGGTTACATGGTGAGCGAGGGTTCCCACATCTTCCGGGGATACCGCCTCGGCCTCTCGTTCTGGCAGTGCATCCGGTCCATGTTTCAGCTGCACAATGAGACGATCAATGTCTGGTCGCACCTGCTGGGAAGCATCCTCTTTGTGTGCCTCCTCTTCTACGTGAAGGACATGCCTGCTTTCGAACGACCTAAGAGGATGGTTCGCAGTGTAGTGCAGAGCATGCCGATCGGAGGCAGCAATGCCAGCGCTTTCTGTAGTGCTAACTGCTCGAACCAGACTAACTTTACTGGCTTGTCTCCTGAGAAGTATGCCTTCAGCATGGCTCAGAGACATTTCGCGGCCGCCAAGGATATCTTGAAGCATGCAGAATTCAAGCTGCCAGGCCTCGAGCGCTGGCGGGAGATTGTACAGGCGAATACCAAGGAGATGGGACGCAACATGGCGGAAGAAGCACATGCAGCGCAGCTTCTTGTGCAAGAGAAGCTTGAGAATGCCATGCACAACCTTGATAAGTCGCTTGAGACCATCAGGCACGAGCTCTCTCAGCTGGGCTCCGTCTCCATGGAAGGCTGCGTGATGTGCTGGGCAGATCTAGTGCGAAGACTTGCCAGCGTGAAGCAGAAGCTGCAGGATCAGGTCTCCTCCATCACAACCAGCATGGGCCACATCGATGATCACAACAGCCTCGTCTGGGGCCTGAGCCCCTCCGAGTGGGCAGAGTACACAGCTTCTGAAGTGTCTTCAGTCACTACTGCTCTGAACAACGGGATATCGGCAGCGAAGAGGTAAGAAAGTGTCGATGCTGCTATGGCATTTCACGAAAGATGGCAGGGCGCTGATACACGCATCTGTGAACATCCAAGGAGAAATGGTGCACGAGATGCAGAAAGTCCGAGAAGTGATCAACCAAGATTTCTTCCATCGATTCAAGATCAACGGAGAGACGTTAAACTCTCAGGCGATCGTTGAAAGATGGCCAATTGTCATTTTCTTGCTCTCTGCTTTCACATGTCTTCTCACGAGGTATGCTGAGCATGCCGGTAAACTAGTGCTTACGAGGTTCCAGTGCTTCGTATCACCTTTTCAACTGCCACAGCTTGACTCTAGCGAATGTTCTCTTGTTTCTGGATTATGCTGGGTAAGCACTGGATCTCCTGGTACTGACAAGATGTCTTGATACTGATCTTCTTTCCGTCTGCCAGCATCTCGATCTTGATCGGAGGTTCTTTCGTTCCTCCCATCTTCTATGGGTTCTATTGCGATGTGTCGCTTCGAAACATGTACCTGGTGTGCCGACGATGTTGTTACAGTTAGACAGACTGATGCTCTGGCAGGCGATCATCGCAGTGTTTTCAATATCTTCTGCAGGAATTGGAATCTACAGGTTTGTATCATACAACATGTCTTGTTGCCTGTCAAACCTCGGCTACTTGTGACTTGTCGCGTCAGCGGGTTGAAACCATCGCCCTCCTCATGCCTCATGCGGGTGCTGGTCTACAGGTCTGGTTGCTCCTCAGACAGCTCTCCTGCCCCTCACCTTCACTGTCAGTGGAAACGCTCTTTTCGCTGTGGTCCCGTGCGGTCATCTCCTGCTCCGGTGGGCGGAGGAAGGGAACGAGACAGGAGGCAACTGACATGCGAACGCAGCTACCTCCACGGCGAGCCATGCTGGACGCCAGGCCTCGTCTACATCTCGGCTATGATTGGCATCTACGCTCTCGGGAGTGTGATTTACTACTACCGATTCCCCGAGCGCTACTGGCCAGGTCCATGCTCCTTCCTCTCGTAGCCCCATCTGATCCCAATGGATGCAGGCAAGTTTGATATCGTCTTCAGCTCCCATCAGCTCTGGCACATCGTAAGCTCTGCAAGCTCTGACGCTGCTGGGAGCGACTGACGAACTTTGACCCGCAGCTTGTGCTCTCAGCTGCTTTCTTGCACTTCTTTTGTGTGGTGGGACATTTCCATTGGAGGACCGACCAGCTGTGCACCTCCTACTTGTGAAGGGAATTTTGGTAAAGGAAAATTAAGATGTCGACCTTCACTTGCATGTCCAACGCGACCACAGCCGATGTGCCTTGATTTGCATCTAGAACTCCTTGGCTAGTCGCTCCATCCCCTCGAAGTTGTACACTCCTTTCTCGCTCTTGCTCTCCAGGCCCTTCAAGATGGCCTTGGACAGCGTGGACACTTGAACCTGGGAGGAAGCGTAAGAGAGGAGGAAGAGAGGAGGAGGCGATACAGGTTTGTCGACGAAAGGAAGGCCCAGCCTATTCCCGAAGGTGAAGGCAGCGACAGGCAGGAGCGCTCTGACCGGCAGACGTCACCACAGGAAGAGCAGGCTCATGAGTTTCACCCCGGCCTGTCCCAAGTCCAGATGAGGCTTGGACGGACGATGATCGGTTTCAGCCTAGCCCAGAATGAGAGAGGAAGAAGACAGAAGCGAGAAAGCAGGAGGAGGAGGAGGAGGAGGAGGAGGAGGAGCAGAGTGTCTCACAATCCTCCTGCCCCATAGACATCGATGAGTTCGGACTCCACAGCTCGCTTGGCTATGAGGTATCGTCGCAGCCAGTCAAGCTGCCGCGCGTCATGTTGGTCGCAGACTCGCTTCCTCTTACCGGCGTTCCTTCGAACGACTTGTCGAACGTCCATCTCACCTCTGCTGCTGAGACAAACGCGAAAGGAATCGGGTCCGAGGACGCCGAGGAAGAGGAAGCGGCGGCCTCCATGGCATTGAAGGCTGTCTAGGCTTCCCCTTCACAGGACAGAACAAGAGCTCGAGCAAACTCCCTCACCTGCCTCGTGATCTCATCGTACGTCGACCCAGCTCGAGGAACAGATCCTGATCCCGACGCCTGCCATGCTCGACCCTAACTTGACTGACCTCCCCTCCTCTCCTCCTTTCTCACGTATTTGTTGAGCTCGGTTTCGAAGAGCATCCCGATCGCATGCACCACAGCGGTGAAGCCTCCTTCCTCCATCACCTTCTCTATCTGCATGCAACAGGTCATGGTACTCGCAACAGCATCAAGATGCACACGTCGGCCTTCTTCGTCGCGTCTCCCTTCCTCCATGCGATCTTGCTGGCTGCGCCAGACCTGCTTGCTCCCGTGGGTTCCCCTCTCCTGCTCAGGGCAACGACCTGCCATGGCGCATCGAGGTCAGCAAGACGTCCGACCCTCAGAATTTCTCACTTCGTATCCTCTCTCGATCGCGAGCTGAGCTACGTTGGAGCCTACGAAGCCTGTCCCCCCCAGCACCAGGATCTTACCCTTCTTGGCCGAGGAGGACGAAGCTTGCGAGGCCGAGGAGGCCATCCTCGGGCAGGAGGAGGAGAACATGCGGGAGGCTGTGGTGGGAGCGGAGCTGGTGAAAGCTGTCGCTCCTCTCACCATCGTCATGGTCGCCATCACCGTCATGATCCGTCTTAGCATCGCGTTAGATGTCCCGGCGAGAAGGTACAAACGATCTGCGCCTTCTCTACCACACTTGGACTATATCAAAGTTACTGCCTTTATTTTAAGTCTATAGGATACCATGAGGCTGGCTTGGAATATCCCAACCATTTCGCCCCCCGATCCTGCTCCTGCTCCTGCTCCTGCTTGTCCTCCTCGCTCCTCTCCTCCTCTTCGAACCTCAGCGTCCTTCCCTGCGAGGACCCATGCTGTTCGCTCCAGCTCCATGCTTCTCGCGGGCTAGCTGGAGCAGAGCATCTGTCGGTCGAGCAGGGGTGCGAGGGATTCTGCGAGCTGAGACGCCAGTCTCGCGTCTTAGTCCTGCCGGATCGCTGGAAGACGTCAGAGGAGCATGGCGAAGGAGGACGCTGCTGTCTCGCTTCCTCCTCATCCTCCTATCTTACTGGACAACCAAACAAGGTAACACTGACGCTTCCTGCTCTCCATTAAACTTATGTCCTAGCAGATTGCCAGGCTGATCCCTGGGGACAGGACGGGAGGTACGAAGCTCGAGTGACGCTCTCCCGTGCTAAATGTTGATCATCTCAGTCTTGTTCGCATCCCCCTGCAGGTTTGCGATGACAGCTACTGCATCTTCTTCAACATCAACGATGCAGGCCCCTTCCGTGCTGTGGTGCCTGAGCAGCGATTGTCTTGCGCTGCCTGTGACGTGCCGGTGTCAGGTCGATACAGGATCTCCATTCTTCACTGTTGCCGGTTCATGCACGCAGGTAGCAACATGAGCATGAGGCCTTGCCTCGCTGACTCGCCAGCAGCGCTGGGGATGCTATAAGGGTCAGGGGAGCGACAGCGGGTTGGCGCCGACCTACGAGGTGTGCATGGTCTACACTGCTTCATTCTTGAGCCAATCTGTCATCAAGGTCTATGCAGCCAAGGAAGGAGAGGTCGTCTGGAAGACGGAAAGTTTCTGCCGATTTGTCCTTCTCCTTCTCGACCATCCCGCCCTCCCACCTCCCTTCCCCCTACTGATTACCCTCCCCCGTTCCCTCGATCTTGTTTATTTCTCTTCTCCTTCCGAACTTGTTTGTTCCCTTTCTGACTTTCTTTTGCAGGCAAGAATATCCTTCCTCAATGCGACAGGTCCAGGAGCAGCGTTTGCTGGTGAGCAGCAGTTGCTTTGTCAGATTATTCTTGTCCCCTTCCTGTACCTCCCCCGTTCCCCTCCTCTCCCTCCTCTCTCAACCTGCCCTCCCTCAAATCGCAGGAGCTGTCCGAGGTGTCCGGGGCGGGATCCCGCTGGTCTTCGGCGTGCTGAGCGACGTGCTGGTCGCCCGGCCCGGGGGAGTTTTCTTGGGGCTCATCAAGGTGAATTTCATGTCCCTCCCGTGAGCTGACGGTTGAGGGCAGGAGCGGGAGGACGATATCCGGCCCACGTTCCTGGGACAAACTGACTTCACTTCCATGTAGACAAGGGGAGGGAGGGAGGGAGGGAGGGAGGCAGGGAGGCAGGGAGGCAGGGAGGCAGGGAGGCAGGGAGGCAGGGAGGCAGGGAGGGAGGGAGGCAGGGAGGCAGGGAGGGAGGGAGGGATGACAAGCGCTACAGGCAGATCGATCTCTCTACCTCCAAGAGTCTGGTCCTCTCGACGAGGCCACTCATTGCGCGTGGGTAATGGGCAACGTGAAGTGACTGTGGGGTGAAGGGGGATGACAAGGTTGCAGCAGCCATTCTCTCATTCAACTGCAAGATCTGCGTGTGTTCGGAGATCCTGTGCAGCATTACGCTTGTGAAGAGACTTGCTCTACGGTTCTCTGTCATGAACGAGCCTGGCAGGCCTGGCAAACTCGATGACTGTCAACGGATACAAACTTGACTTTGGTCGATGGCTGTGTGCTGATCATACTGTCCCTGACGCATCACAGGCGATGACCCTGTATACACGATAGTTGACACGTGAGAGAACAAGTGTATCCTCTCAAGCTTCTGAAATGCCCGTAGCGGAACAACAGGGCTGACAATGTCGAGGGAGGTGAGCGGGAGAAGTTGGCGGCAGCACGAGCTCAGTGGAGTTTCAGCTCTACGAGGAGATATTGTTCCTGTATGCAAGCAAGAAGATCAGCAGGTATACATGGGAGAGGCGAGGCATGCGTTTGATCGCTGCGCGACAGCAAGGCTCGCCTGTGGAAGAAAGTCTCAGTGAGCCTGGAGGGCACGGAGGGAGGAGTGGAGATCGAGGTACAAGCGTGTCAGTATCTCTCGCGTGTCCCTCACCCATCACTACCAGGCTCGCAACCCCATCACCACACCCGTCGACATCCCATGGCCCAAGTTTCGATGTGAGAGCTCTCCTTGCCCGATGACCCCACTGAAGCTGTTGGAACAGCCCGGCTGCTCGTGCTCGGGCTGTCCTTCATCGAGGTGACCCTTCCTCTTCGATGCCATGTGGCTCAACGAGACTTGGCAGGGGACTACCATCACTTTGGATCTGAAGCAGGGATACATGAGCATTGTGGACAAACGGCAGACAACAAGACTGCAGCCAGATATGCCGAAAACAATTTAAATAATAAAACAAAAGATTCTCCATGAGAACAAGATATTTTACATCTATCAATAATGTTCAGTCCGACACCCCCGCCTTCTACCAAATATTCAAGAGAATCTTGAGAAGCTGGGAGTTGCAGTTAGGGTACTCAGCCGCCTCAGTCTTGGCATCACAATCATTGCGACCAAAATCATGAGGAGAAGGTGAATGACGCTCGGCCTCTTCAACTTCAAGCTCAAGAACTTTCACAGTTGAATGCTTCTCCTTTGCATTGGACTTCTCGAACGTTCGTTGACTTGATAAATCAACTATGAGACTCTGCTGTGCGCGGGAGCACGAGCGCATCTCGGGACGGAGCCAGCCGTCTCCCCCCCAGAAACCGAGCAGATGGAGGCCTTAGGAGCTCAGTCAGTCTCGATCACTCTTGTTCTCCTGCTACGCTGATTGTTTCTTGCTCCTGTTCTTGTGCTTGTATTCTGATCCGACGGCTCGTCGATGCCCTACAGAGTTGTTGCTGTTCCTCTCTATGCGCCTTCCCTGTGGTAAAACTTCGATCTGCAGATAGTCTTTACAAAATCTTTACTACCACACGTGTTCATTGATGACATGCACGGCTTAGATATTTACAAATGAAGATGATATGATGCTATTTTTAAAATTCACTTGGTACTCATGGCCTCAATATATGCTCGTTATTATATGTCGATTATAGATTCAATTGTCAGCATAAAAAATAATTGTTTTGATAATGGCGTGATCTGCTCGAGTTTTGAGGATCTTTTGAGAAAATCTTTCCGATCTTAGGTCGCTTTTAGGCAGGTATTGCACGCCATATTTCATTGGAATAGCAATGTCATCGAGGTCCGGAACCAGGACTTGTTCAATCATGCTGCACCCCTGCACCGAGGTCTGTAATTGGGGTGGTATCATCCTGATATCCAGCCAAGAGGTCAGCTCAATGTCTGTCTGTGACGGACAATTTGAAAAGAAGTCTTTTCAATTTCTTTGGAGCAAGTGTCGACAACCCACCCCACGTGCTCGGGTGATTTCGACCCTTTGGGTACCCTACCCCGTCTACCCTATCACAGGACCTGGTATTAGAAGAGGTGGGTATCAACCCACCCTTTTCCATCCAGTTGAATACCTAGTATATAAATCCTTGTTGGCACCAGAGCAGCATCTCCCAAGCCGTGGTGGCGCAGTTGGTAGTCGCGTTGGTCTCATAATCCAAAGGTCATGGGTTCGATCCCCATCCGCGGCAATGAGCAAAAACGTTGGGAGCTACCTTTTTGGCCATGTATAGGAGACATTCGTGTGCTACCGTGCCATCCAGCTAGCTGCAGGGCCACCCCTGACCTCCCCCCGGCCTCCCACCCCACATATAGAGGAAGATGGACGTTTGGCAATCCTATGTGTACCCTACCCCCATGGATACTACCCGATATCCTACTATAGGACCCCTGCTCACAATGTAAGCACCATACCCCCACCCCCCATTGCATGAGAGATCCTTAGACCAACACCACCGGTACTTCTTTTTGTATGCGAGGCCGGGATTCCGTTCCCCTGCCCTGAAGTGTGTATGTACCCCCTTCATGCTGGTAAAAGAGACGGGTACATTCGAAATTCACGTCGCCACCACCCTTGTGAGTACGAACCCCACCCCCCAGCTTTGCCTCTTTCGCCACCACTCCTTTCATGATATGTTCATGATCTGCCCGTTGATGCGACCCCGCGGCGGACGCAGGCGCAATGGGGGAAGGGAGCGGGAAGAGACAAGCGAGAATGTTGCAAGGGGAGTAGCGCAGAGGAAGACAGCACATGATGAGAGGAGTGGAGGGCTGACCTGCCTTTTCAAGAGGAGATGCTTCACCGTTTAGTTCCCGGCATTGTGAATTCAAGGAGGTGTAAGGAAGATGCGCGGGTGAGGGGTGCGTAGCAGGAGCTTCAGTTTGTGGGTGTTGTCTGTGTATCAGAGAATGACAGATAGAGAGGTTAGGGACCATTCCCCTTCTGCGCTGTTGCTGTCTTGTTCAAATCGTAATCGTAGACACTGACATCGTTGGGAGGTGTAAATAGCCAGCTCAGCCGTGATGGAGTTCTGTCGAGTTCTGCATCAGCACGCAAGTCTGTATTGATGTCAGCACAACAGTTCAGAAGTGGATCGGCTTGACAGGCAACATCTCTGTGCACCTGCAGCGTGCATGGTGAGGGCCGGGGCAAGAACAGCTGTCTGAATGAATTTGCTGGAACACCTTTGCGGCGACTTTTGAACGACAGGTTGAATTTTGTAACAATCAGGAGCTTGCATAAATTGAAGATTCCTGGTAATAGCTGGGCTCGGATTGTTGTAATAATATGAATCGTTTCAACGGGGCGAGGTTTTGTGTCGAGAAGCTGAGACACGACCTCGGGATCCTCTTCGTCGTACTGGCTCTTGTGAGCTCAGCAATGGGTTGTCAAGATGTCCGAGCTGACGTTTCTGGGTCAAACACGATTCGCTGCATTCATAATACTGTTGAAAGACTCACGTGTAAGCACAATGACAATCATATCAGAAGATCCACAGTTGGCCGGGTTCCTAGCAACAGCCTGGGTCTTCCACCTTCGAGGATGCATGATGAATCAGGCAAAACGCGGTTGTGTATGCAAGTTCGAGGAGGCGGACAAGAGGAGCTTCCCAAGGCTAACATCGACAGCCAGCTTCAGAGTTTCATGCAGCAGGTCACGGGGGCCGCCGACCTGGTACTGCAACCTGTACTGAAGAAGCCTTCACCTCCTCCTCAGCGATCGACTGGTTCGAGGATGCGGACTACAGCAGCATCAAAGCTTCTCAGACGAGCCAGTGAAGAAATCCTTGCAGCACTGGACAGCTTTGAGAGCAGACTGGAGAGGCTGAAGATGTGGAACGTGCAGTTCAAGCGATTGACTCGGGTGGAGTTTGGAGACGCTCTTTATATCGTTGGCAACGTAGAGGCTCTGGGAGACGGCAACCCCAACAAAGCCATCAGGATGAAACACATGGGTTCAGACTTGTGGAGTGTGACAGTGCCGAACATTCCTGATGGCGCCAGGTACCGATATCTCATTAAGAAGGACGATCACTCGCAAGGCGATCACAAGGCTTCTGAAATCAGATACACCACCGACTACTTCTTTGAGCTTTCCTCGATCATTGAAGATGCTAAGCTGGAGGAAGGGTTTCTGGTGGAAGACGACACCGTGCAGCTTGTTCGATTCAAGGTAGCACGAGAGAAAGCGGAGAAGATCTTTGTAGTTGGATCCATCCCCGCGCTGGGCAAGTGGGACAAGACCAAGGCAGTGGAGCTGATTCGGAGCAAGGGAAACACCTTCGAGGCCATCGTTGCAATCCCGAGCGATGTGGTCGGAGAGTTCGAGTACAAGTTCTTCGAATATCCTTCAGGGCAGTACGAATCTGGTCCGAACCGAAAGAGCGACGCGCACCTGGTGGAACCGCAGAGAGAGTTTGATCCGAAAACAGGATCCCTTGGGCTGACCAGAGTGGTAGACCTAGAAAGCATCTGGGAAGGTCTGCTCCTGCGCTTCCTGATCTATCATCCCCTGCAAGACCCTTCTTCGGTCCTAGCATGCTCTGGATCCATGCAGGCTCTCGGTGGTTGGCTGGGAGCTCCCAGGAAGATGGGACTTGGCAATGAGCGGACGCTGCTGACAGGAGTGAAGGGCCGCTGCTGGGAGATGACGTTTCCAGCCCCAGCACAGGACTCGGTCAACGTGCAGTATCGCTACTGCATCATCGATGGGAAGAAGGGGACGGCGGTGTTCGAGCGCGAGCCTAACCGAGCTCTGCACCGCGTTCCTGGGGCTCAGAGCGCCCTTGGGTGAGTCATCCTCCCTCTGCTTCCACTCGCCTGACAAGCTCCGTCACTCTGACGATCTTCTGACCTTGATCGCAGAGTCAAGTACGCCACGCTCGGGCTGGGGCAGCAGGTGACAGGCAAGAATCAAGGATTCCGACAGCGAGAGTGGCAAGTCTACGACGGCAACTTCGTTCCGCCGCATCTGTCCTTTGATGATGTTCCTCCCTGCCTGGCGATCGGCCCCTATCCGCAGAGCAAAGGAGATGTGCAGACGATGGTGGAGGCAGGAGTGACGGGGGTGCTGAATGTCCAGACGGACGGTGACCACCAGAGGAGGATGGTGAACTGGAACAGCATGGAGAAGTACTACCACGAGGCAGGGATTCATGCTATCCGTGTTCCCATCGAGGATTTCAACGGAGAGGAGCTCGCAAGACTCGTCAAGGAAGGAGCGAAAGCTGTCGACCAACTTGTCCACCGTGCCAAGGTGAGGTCTGACGACTCCATGCACCGCGTGTTGACGTGGCGAGCAGAGCGAGGGGAAGCAGCCCAAGGTCTACATTCACTGCACTGCTGGGATGGGCAGGTGAGATGCGACGAGGACTTGGACGCGATAAGGTTGCGAGTGACGCGAGTGACAGAGCGCCTGCTGTCGCCTGCGTCTACCTCGTGTGCAGGCACGGCTTCAGCCTCCAAGACGCTCTCGCTCACGGTAAGGAGGAACGGAAGGAGGAGGAAGGAGAGGAAGAGGAAGTTCAAGAGAAGGAGGAAGGGAAGGAGGAGGGGATGAGACCGGCAAGGGGATGGGCAAGGAAACCACAATGACAGGTCTGCTGATCTCTCATGCAGTCAAGAAGCATCGGCCGGTCTCGGCTCCAAACTGGCACGCGATGGAGCAGGTAAGACGGTCCAAGTGACTTGAACGAGCTCATATGAGCATGCAGGCATTGAGGAGCGGAGGTTTCTAGGGATTTGCCGGATCTAAATGTCGTTCCTCTCCCTCCCTCCCCCCCAATCCCTAAGTCTCTGACTCGATTCTTACCTCATGCGCCATCTGCTGTCTCGCAGGCATGTCGTTGGTTTTCTCACAAACGAATCCTTTAAGTTCTTGTCATCGTATATGCCCTTCCTTCCAACTTCCCTCCCCCATATCGCCGTCAAGTCCCACGAGCCCTGCAACAGCGAATCACATGGAGCAGCAGCAGCAGCGGATGCACAAGGAGGAGGTAGGGGTCCCTCACAGTGTGATGCGATATCGCATTTCCTCTCCGTTGGTTCGCCTTCCCATCTCCAGCGTGACCTGCGTCAGCGTCAGCAGCAGCAGCAGCAGGGGAACAGCTGTTTTCCTCTGATCCTTCCGCTCCCTCCAGCGCCTGCAGCAGAGTGTCCAGCTCCACTTCGTCCTGTTCGACCCCGTCGACCTTGAAGACGATGTCGCCCGCATGCATCATGCCGCAGTCGGCGGCGACGGTGCCGGGGATGAGGCTGAGGATGGAGAAGAAGCGGCCGCTCCTGGAAGGATTGAAGACAATCCCAGGAACAGACGCTAGCGACGCTCCTGTTCTCGCTGCTGCTGATGCAGCTGGTGCTGCTGGTCCGTCACCAAGATGTACCTTGGAGGACAGCTGCTGCTGGAGCTGTGGTGGGATGAGCGTTGGAGGTGAGAGGGAAAAGCAGAAGAGAGGAGGCGGTCTCGTATACCTGCTCGATGGTTGGGTAGTCGATGGTCCTTGTAGCAACCTGAGACAAGATAAAGATGATCGGCAGGAGCAGGAGCAGGAGCAGGAGCAGGAGCAGGAGCAGGAGCAGGAGGAGGAGGAGGAGGAGGAGGAGGAGGAGGAGGAGGAGGAGAGAAGACACAGGAGCAGGAGCAGAACACAGAAGGCTTCACCTCGCTGGCGATGAAAATCGACTGCCCTTGACCTGACCTGCTTGACAAGTTGAATGGAAGGACGAGGAAACATAAGACAAGTCTGCCAAGATGGGAAAGCAGGGCAGAGCAGGGCAGAGGAGAGGACAGAGCTAAGGACGTGGGAGAAGAGAAGAAGGTGGTGGAGGAGGAGGACGTTTGACCTCAGCTGGGGATGGATGTCACGCATGTGATCCCTGTAAGGCTCCAGCTTCTTCTTCATCTCCTCGTTGTAGGCCAGCAGCATCGAGATCTCACTGGCTCAGACCTCAACGTCACTGGCAACTTCACAAGGAATCCTGGGGAGGATTGTCCTCCAGGAGGACACTACACCTCCTCTGCCATTAGTTGGTCTGCGCGTGAACACGAGTGCTTCTGAATTCACTACTTTTCCCCACTCTCCCCTGCTCCTCCTGCTCCTACTCCTGCTCCTACTCCTGCTTCTGCACCTGCTTCTGCACCTGCACCTGCACCTGCACCTGCACCTGCTCCTCCTGCTCCTGCTCCTCCTCGTCCACAACCTTGTCAGAGATTTCTTGGTTGCGACGAAGTCTTGCAGCAGCTTCTCGTGATCCTTCACTATCAGGTCGTACTTGCTCACTATCCCTTGATATGCAGAGTTCAAAGAAGCGTTCTCCGCTGCGAGAGCCTGTCATATCACCACCATCATTAACGCCAACCTCCACTTCCTCGATCATCATCATCATCATTATCAGCAGCAGCAGCAGCAGCAGCAGCAATATCGGCAGCAGCAGCAGCAGGAAAGGAGGGAGGGCAGGTGCAGGAAAGGAGGGAGGGCAGGTGCAGGAGCAGCCTCCTCTCCGTGATCTCTCACTTCCAGTTGTATCATCTTGTCAACATTCTGTTGCTGCATAGACTCCAGCATTCTTGACTTGTCGAAGTTTTGCTGTGTTAACGATCATCTCAGTGTGTTCACCAACTTCTTCTTCATCATCATCATCTCCATCTCCATCATCTCCATCGTCGTCATCATCATCATCTCCATCATCCCCATCATTATAATCATCTCCATCA